CAGAGCGGGGAGCAGAGCAGGCAGAAGGACCGAAGTACACTGCTGAGGGGAGCAGCGGGCGGCAGGAGAGGTCTGCGCGCCCTGTGGGACCCTCCTCCGGTGGCCGGGGAGCAGCTGGGGATAGAACCGGTGCTGCAGAGGCTGAGGGCAGCTTTGCAACCCAGCGCTCAACTGCTGCGCCACCGGGGAGTCTCATTATTGTTCATTTTTAAACAATATTTGCTTCCTCCCACCCCCTCAGGTATAGTCCCCATAGTTTTTCCTTCATCAATGCACCCGTGCACCATCACCTCAGTCCCCTATGCTCCTCCCTCCCTCCCTCTGATCCCTCTCCCTCCTCCTCCCCTGCAGGATATCTCTGGTTTATAATTGTCCGTTTTTACTTTGTTGTGTTTTGTACTGTTTTTTTTTTTTTTTTTTACACTGATGTCTTATTTGGTTCCCCTATTTTCCTGCTATAAGTGAAACCATCTGATATTTTTCTTTTTCCTTCTGGCTTATTTCACTGAGCATAGTTCCTTCTAGCACCATCCATGTTGCTGCAAATGGCATAAGTTTATCTTTTTTATTGCTGAATAATATTCCATTATATATATATATATATATATATATATATATGCCACATCTTCTTGATCTAGTCATCTATTTTGGGGCATTTGGGTTGTTTCCAGGTTTTACCTATTGTAAATAGTGCTGCAATAAACATAGGGGTACAGGTGTTCTTTTGAATCAATGTGAAACTTGTTTTATATCCAGACATATGGTCTACTTTTGAGAATGTTCCATAATACTTGAAAAGAATATATATATTCCTTTGTTTTGGATTTTAATGGTCTGTAAATATCTATTAAATCCATGTCATCTAAGTTGTTGTTTAAGGTCATTTTTTCCATGTTGATTTTCTATTTATGTCCATTGGTGTATGTGGAATGCTAAAGTCCCCTCTTACTATTCTGTTGCTGTCAATGTTTCCCTTTAGGTCTATTATGTAATTTGGATCGTTTTATGTAATTTGGTGTTCTTCTCTTGGGTGCATATTTTTTAATCAGTGTTATGCCTGCCTACTCTATAGGTCCCTTCAACATTATATAATGTCATCCTTGTTATCTTATTTGGATCGATGTCTGTTTCATCTAAGTATAGTGTGTCCTGCCTTTTTGAATTTTCCATGGTCTTGGAAGACCCATTTTCTACACCCGCCCTTTATGTGTTTGTTGTTCTTTATAACTTAAGTGAACCTCTGGAAAGCAGCGAAGGTTGTGATTTGCTTTTTTAATCTATCAAGCACTTTGTGCCTTTTGATTGGTGAGTTCAGCCCATTTTAGGGTGACTATGATCTGTGAATATGTGTGGGGTGTGTGTGAGTGAATTTTATATATTTTGCTCTGCTACTTAGTTTTCTGGTTCTATCTACTTATTCAATTTTTTGTGAACCACTTTAGGTAGAACTTTCAACATTTCTTGTAGGGAAAATGTTTAACTCAGCTTTTGTCTCAGAAAGACTTCATTTCTTATATCTGAAAAAAATAGACTTTTTACTGGAAGTTTCTGTCTTTGAGTTTTTTGAATATATCATTCCATTCTCTCCTCACTGTAGCATTTCTGTTCAGAATTTGATGGTAGTCTGATGGGTTACCTATTCCCCACCGCAACAGCTTTAATATTCTTTATCTTGACTCATCATAGGTTCACTATTATGTGGTCATCTAAATTCCATTCCATGCTAGTCTGTTTTCTGTCTCCTGATCCTGGCCAGGCTTCAATGTGAGGGGCTAGGAAAGAAGGAGCAATGTCTTTTTTTTTTTTTTTTTTTTTTACCATTCTTTTATTTCTATGTCTCAGGATTGGGAAAGAGGAAATATTAAAGGGAGAAAATTATTTTTTTTGTAGAATTTTGTATTGCATTGCAGTGTATCCTTGATTTTTTTTTTGTTTGTTTGACCTATGTGGTAACTCTATAATTGTGGACTCTGTCATTGAGTTGATGTGCAAGTTCTTAGGTGACTCACTATTATCTGACACATAAGAAATCTGCCTGGATTTCCTCATGACTAGTCCAGGGATACGTAACTCAGTCTTTTCCTACTGAGATATTGTTCCTGGCAGACAGCTTTCTTAGGTCCTGTCACAATGACCCAAACTCAGCTGCCATCACAAGGGCCTGCTTATCCTGTGATATGTCCTTACTTTCCCCAAAATTGCTTATTAGGTGATTACTACAGACTTCTTTCAACTGTTTTGTGTTCACCTTCCCTCTCCAACTCCCTGCTCAGTTGCTCACTCACTCGCTCACTCACTCTCAATGACACATCAGTAAGTCTACTGTGTAAATACACATCCAAATAGAATAAAATGAACATTTCTGGAGGCGTCATTACTTGGATTGGCAGAGGTGGATTTAATTTATAATATTCTCTCCCAGCAATCATATCTCTCAGGTCAACACATGAATTCATCATTCTCTTCTTATATCTGTTGTATAAGAGAGTTCTACTGCCAGCTCCTTAATGGGTTCTAGAATGATTTGCTGGGTGAGTATTTAGAAAATGGAGGCATTTACTTATCACCTCTTGGTTTCAACTTTGGGTCTTTATAGACTCATCCGAAGAAAAGAGAGTCCTCATTAATATCTGTGTACATTGAGATGAGGGAACTAAAGGAATCTTCTATTTATGCCACTTTCCTCTATATTGCAAAACAACATTGTGCATTTCAGTTATTAATAAGGTAAAGACTTTAGGCATATTTAGTCTAGACGGTAGTGAATAGGAGAGAAAGTTGTTCTCCCACCCAGAGTGGCCTTTGTAGTCCAGCCAGCTTAGCATCGCTAATTTCTACCCTTTTTGTATTGGGTTTTGAATAGCACAGGAACAGTACATGATGGTAGTAGCAAAGGTCTTATGTTAAAAACTCAACTCAGCAATTTGTTGGTAAAATGCATAGCTCATTACTCTTCAAAAGTTTCAAATGATCTCAATTTAGCTATAACAATCTTGTTCCACTGTTATCATACTCACACAGCTAGGAGTAGACAGTTCAGACTTCTTAGTAGTCTACTCAGGGAATTGTGGGTGATGAAATGAGGACTAATAGTTCTGGTTATGTTACAAATAAGAGCTACCATTTATGGAACACTTCATTGTAATGGGCATGTTCTAAGTTCATTATCACTATTCACTCACTGGGTCCTGTTGTCAAACCTTTGATGTAAGTATGGTTGTAATTCACATTGCTCTTATTTTACGTTGAAATACTATTTAGCTTTGTCACACGTCAAACTTCAGAAAAGGAGAGTACCACACCCTACTTTTCTTCCAGTCTTTGAAGTAATATGGCTGTTCAAAGGATTAGATGAGGCAACTAGTGCAGAGAGATTAGAACATTTGCTTAATGTCACATGCCTTGGAAATCGGAGATGTAGGAATTGACTAGTGAATCTAGCTGGAGTACTTGCAAAGACACATGATATATATTGTAATACTGGTGCTGTGTGAGACAGAAAAGATATGTGCAACTCAACTTATAGGATGAGCTAGGGAAATGTTTACAGACACAATACTTAAGCTGTATTTCAAAGAATAAAGGTGTGCAGGCTAGAAAAAGAAAACTGAATATTGAAAAGGCCTAGTATATACAAAGATGGAGTACATTGGGGCTGTGATGTGAAGGAAGTATAAAGAGGAATGCAGAAGAGGAACCACAATCTTAAAGTCTTTACCTTGAGTAGTAACATTGATTTGAATGTCAGAAATTTCACTTTGTTTTGCACTAGAGCAATGGAAGACAATTATGGGCTATTTAAAAGTCTAGTCTTAATTCAGGACCCAAGTGAAGTGGCAGTAGGTTGAAAAAAGGCAAAAATAGATAATTAAGAATACTGTCCAATTTTCCCTTAAAAACCAAGCAAGAGGACCATAAAACAAGAGGCATAAAAATTAAATTTCCCTTTAGTCTGTTGCCTGATTGTTATTTGATGTGACAATTCCTGTTCGGTACAACCTAATTCCCCTCGTATTTTCACGAGTCCTGTCATCTCTGACCTGCATGATTCCTAATCCTGTGGTTTCCCACAGCTCAGAGTGGCTGGCACAGACCTTTATCTTCAGGCAACAACACATAGTCTCTTCTGTGTTCCTTAGGCCTTGCTACATTTCACCTTTGCCTAAAGGACAGTTTCATCACACATGCTAGTCCTAGCTGAAAAGATTTACTTCTGGAGTCCTTTCTTAATAGAAAAACCTTGCTCTTATTTCACGCTGCAATACTATTTAGCTTTATCATATGTCAAACTTGAGAAAAGGAGAGTATCATGCCCTACTTTTCTTCCAGGGTCTTAGAAGTAACAATGGATGTTCAAAGGATTAAATGCTTTCCTTGCATATATTAAGGGCCTGAAAAATCGGCTCTTAGCCTCTAAACATATAATTCCAGCACAATGTGGTAAATTTTGCATAGTATTTATTGTGCTGGAATTACTTGCTTGTGTCTCTCATTTAATTGTATGTGCTTTGAAAATAGTTATTACTATACTTGGGCCGTTGCATGTAAAAATTAAAATTCACAGCATTCCCTTGTGGTTTCTTATATAGTTATTAACATTGTTCCTATCTCTCTCTCTTGCCACTGTCTAGTAACAGAAAAATCAAGAATTTAGAGAATTATTGTTATTGCTCATTCAGAATGATCAATTATGATTTGTCATCTAGATACTGTCAGCTTTTGCAGATGTGGTTTTACTTGCAACCTTAACATAACCTTAACTTTCAGTTCTTAAACGTGGAGGTAGCTTATCCGTGGAATATCTTTTGGTATGTAATGGCTAAATCTGTGATGGGTACTTGTGTCACCTTGTCCAGTTAGCTCTTAAATCAATTGTCTTCTAACAAGATGACAAGTTATAACACAAAAATGCTTTTGAAGAAATGTGTGTTCATTTGAAAAATAAAATACCCACTCTGTTTTTTAACATTCATTTTATAAAATACTTAAAAGAACAGATAAAGTACTTGCGTTTACATAATAACCAAAATTGCAAAAGAATGAATATAAATTAATTGAACACATAACTATTTTGCCACATTAGACAAGTTTAAAAAGGTATTTAAAAAAAATAGCAATTGGGAAGAAAACCCTTCACTCTATTGCTGTCTTTTTCTGGAAACTTTTCCTAGAAGCACTAAAATTCCAGGTCAACAGGCAGTACCTGTATTGTTGAAAACATTTGTAATTGGCTTCCATATCTGTCAGCTTAAGAGAAAATAAAATTTTAACCAGGTTAGATAACTCAGTGCAAATTAAGCTTTAAGTTGAAAATCTGAAAGAAAAGATGTCCAAAGTGTAGGAAATGCTTCTGGAACTAAAACATAAAAAATTCACATTATGAATTATTTGTAAGTGTTCTTGTATAGGAAACATTGAGTTAAAAATGGGCTCTTTGAAGTTGTAATTAGGGGTCTATTATTAAGACTATTTTCAACGTGGGCTTGGAGAAGTGGATAGGGAAGGGTTAAAGGTCATCTGTTGGAAGAAGTTCAAGTTAACCATAAGCATTGTTTTGATCAATTCTAAAATATTTGGCCAGGATGTTGCAGACATAAAGGTGGAAAAGATTAGGAGATTAATTTATTGGACTATCAATGAGGATAAGTACTTCTACCCTCAGAACATTTGGGGGTTGGGACAAGCAGGTTGAATGTTGGATTCAATTATGTCATACTGTTTTAAAAAAATGTATTAGCAAGTCTGGAGAGATGGGAGGCGTGCCAAACTATTCGAATCAGAGTGGAACTGAGTGTGGATCATTTCCAGTCATTATTGGATAATCATTTTTAGAAATAAAATGTATTTTGGTTTATTCACTTTCTTTTGTTGGTTGTCATAGGGAATAGGTAGCAATGGTTTTTTGTATTTGATAAAGTTTCTTCTTTCCATTCTTTTCTGTACAAGTTTTAGATTCATTCTTATGACGAAAAACTTGAGTACAAGGTGCAGAGAGATTTTGGTGGAGACTAGTAAGTTTCTCTTTTTGCAAATCCTTAAGGAAATGTATGGTATCATTACCAGTCTTCTCACAGTTTCTCATACTTGAAAAATGTTCAAATGTACTGTATTTTCTAGCATTCAGCATTTTATCATTCCCTTATCAGTGTTAGAACAATATTATCACAATGAAGGGACAACTTTTGGCTTTTAGACTGTACTTACGATCAGCAAGTCATAAAATATACAGTGCTAGTCTGACATCAGAAACTGATAAAACAAGTGGGAAATCATGATGACATAATATGGTTTATAAAGCAATGGAAAAATTCCCAATCCAATTTTTAAAAGTATAAAAAACTGCAGTCACACCTACTCACAGGAATAACATCTAAGACACAGTAAAAATTCCTATTTAGGGACAGTTAACTAGTCAGAATCACCTGAAATAAAACAGGAGCACAAACTATCCAAGTCCCTTGACGCCTCAAGTCCGCCCTATCTTGATAGCCAGACTGTCAGGAAAGGCACGTCACTTTGCAAAGGAATGCACTGGTTTCCCGCCCCAGGTTGACTACCCAAGTTTCATTTATTTCAGTTGTGTCTGCTAGATGCTCAGCCATGTCCTTTCAATTCCTGAAGAGGCTCTCTGTCAGATGCATCTTTTACATCATATTGTCTTTGAAATTAAGAAAGGAGCGGCAGATATGTGCACAAACATAGTTCATATTTAGAAAACCTGTGGGTTCAAGCATTTCACATACACCTGGTTTTCTCTCATTTCTCTGCTAACTTCTCAGGAAAGAAAAAAAAAAAAGTAAGTTGCCTGAAAATTCTGAAGCTCTGCTGGAAACCTAGATTTTGTCCATCAGAGACTTATCAAAAGTACAGGTAACAAATAACACACTGTTGGAATTAGCTTGCAACAGTTTGTGCTTTAAAAACACAGTGCCTAACAGCGCTGAGCACATCATAGATGCTCAATAAAAGGCAAAACTCTTGTTTTTTTTTACCCGATTGGATGGAGCAATGTGGGCAGTAAGAATCTACAAATTAAATATATGAACTTTAATTTGATTACAGAGAGAAAGAAATTTGCAAAAAATATTGCCACAGTAGCATTGGCACTTAGCAGTGCATCAAAGATTGTTTCCACCACAATATGGGATGATTCCTAAACCTATTAGATACTAGAGTGAAATCACTCAAACAGGAAATGATTTCCATTCCACTTAGAGCAAGGTCTGACTATAACTTGGAAAATTATTAATATATTTCAGGGAGATGGCCCCTTTATACTGCCTAAGTAACCAGACCTAAATATCAGGGTCCTCATCATGTAACTTTAATGCAGCATTGTTGTGAACAAGTGTATTTCTCCCACATCTGCAGTAGTTGCTTGCTAGTATTTTAGGTTTATACAGAGTTATGACACCCCTGGGATAACAAAGATGAGACTATGGAAGACTGAAGGATCACAAAATTTACACAAAATATGGAAGTGCCTCTATAGTATATGAAAACCCCTTATTTAAAAAAGGCAGTTCATTGACAAAAAAATGCTTTATACATTCAGATTTTCCCCATCTCTCAACAGTGATGGTGTCCAAAGAAAAGATTCAGTAGTGAAGGCCACACTTTTTTTTTTTTTTTGCATTAGTTTGATATGCTGAAAATCAGAACCTTTAAAGCATCTTATAAATGGGAGAAATGGAATTGGACCGGGAGGTGGTAGAGAGGGGGATGGAATGGGAGCAATCAAAATGCATATAGGACTTAATTGTAGATGTGACAGCAAGGAAGCTGGTGGGGGATGTTACAGCAGACCTGACCGCTCTACAAAGGGCCCAAGAAGAACACAGTACAGGGATGAAAACAAAACACAAAAAACTCAAAACAAAAACTGCAACTTCGCCAACTTGTAAACAAGGAAAAGCATTTCACAGATTCAAAGTTCAAGGGAAGTAAACGTCTTTAAATTATTTTTGTCAGTTCAACCCTGATTTAAAAGTATGGCTAGCAAAAATAAGAGAGCCCAGCCGCTGACTTCCTGAGCAAGCAGCTGTCTTCTGAGAAGCAGCACTTCTAAGCCTCTCTCTTCTCCAGATGCCACGTTGAGGAGGAGATACTTTCTCTCCTGAATTCCATTTCACTTCTTTCCGCACTCCTAGAATATTCATCGATTTACATCTTGTTTTTTATAGTTCAGGCTGCTATAGATTCAGACGTGGGGAGACGGGAGGGGGGAAGGCAAATTCTCGGAGGATGCTACGGGCCACTTCAACGTTATTCTGGGCTATCTCTAAGGCTCGCTTCACTTCTTCAAAGGCATAACCCTCTCCCATGAGTTTTGCAATTTTTGCATCGACGTTTTCCAATGCGGCTTCGGGCCCATGGGGTTTCCTGTGGTGAATTTCTGGTGCAGTCCTGCGGGGTCGTGGCTTAGGAGGTCTGGCTGGTGCTTGAGAACCATCTGTGTGGAATTTTAAAAAGAGAACATTTAACAATGAGAAAAAAATGATGACATTATCACATTACTATTTCTAATGAGAACATTATTTTTCATTATCTCTGCAAATGATTTTCTATGTTTACGTATTATGGGGTAGGCTTATATTCCCATTTTGAATACTGAAAACTGAGGCAGGATATGTTGGAATCTTGAGAAATGAATGCAGATACATCCCCAATTTTATGCCATATGAAATAAGATTCATAGAGGGAAATAAAACAACTGCCTGAACAAGGGTGGCTTCCATTTCGCAGTGCAGCCCACCTTTCTCGAAACACTGTGGTGGAGAAATGACTGGGAGTTTCACTAGTGGTGAATCTATTTACAAACAGGGATATGTTCCTGGCAAGATCTCCCCAACAGATTATCTGTCCTGAGAAATAAATTTTGGAGAGTCTCTTCCTATATGATTTTTCAAATTAATAAAACTGTAAAGTGCAGGAAAATGGGTATTTTAAGTCTGTTTATCAATAGGCTCAATGGAAATAAATCTGTGCTTTCCTCAGACAGCCAGATAACAGTGCAGGAAGTGAAAAGTAATTCTGTCGTTCGCCCTAGTTAACCCCTTTTAGCAGTGAACTTAATAGAGTTTATACAGATGTTGATTTACAATGATGCACACCTATAATGTACATGGTCTGAGGCAATTAAATAGAAAATCAAAACAGAAAAAAAAGTACAAAATTAGCAGTGGAGAATAAGCTTTTCAAAGTGAAACCAACTGACATTGGTGCTCATGAGTGGAAAGTAATCTTTTTAGGAGAAAAGGAAATTCTAGGCTACATCCCATGCAGATTCCCAAGGTAAGAAAGTAACTTGAAGGGGTGATTTTGTCATGGATCTCCATGCTATTTAGTACTTTTTAAAAAAACTTAAAAATATTCAATGCTATATATGAGATACACCTGTGGACTTTATATAGGCATCGATGGTAAATTTAAGAATACAATTAAGTAAATGATGAAGTGGTGCTAGAACCCAAATGCCTGTGACTCTTGTACTTCCATCCTCCAGTCTCTGCTGCCTGGTGCACTTTTCCACAGACTTCAGGAGATATTGGAAGCTAGTATTTTCAATAATGATTGAATCTAAATCATAGAGCTAACTGATATATGATTGAAAAAATAGACGAATTAGAGAAAATTTTTTTTGAATGGAGAAGGTAACTGGTAAACACCAAATTCAATCTAGCCACATCAATATACATAATGTACAAAATATAAAATTCTCCAGAGTGAAAATACTTGGTTCTATACTAAACTGGGTAGTCATTTGTAATTTTTCCAGAAAAATAAGCACTTTGAAAAAGTCTTATAGCTAATAAGCTTTTTAAATTGTATTCCTATATAAGGGCACACATTAACTTCTGATTTTTGTTGGGCACTACTGTTTCTTGCATCTGTAACTAAACATATCAAATTATTATGCCGTGCTAAATTACCTTTTTTTACATTTTCAGATTCCATTTCAGGTTTGTTTTTCTATCAAACATTTCCATTATGTCACACAGAGATGCACACTGAAGTATACTCTGCTTCTAATCACTTCCAAAAACCATTAGAAATTCTAAGCAAGCTTTCCCTAATCAGTGACCACAGAACTTATGCACTGAAATCTTCTGTGTTCTCATTTGCTTTTAGAGGAAAAATTCCTAAATTTCTTATATTCTACTAGTATTTTTCTACATTTGTATAATAATTGTTTTTTGGTTTCTATCCACCAAAAATGGAGGTCACGTGTGTCAAGCATTATGAAAAGCTCAGCTGTCAATACCAGATAAGTGAGGAGGACACTGTGGCAGGAGGGACACATCTGGCAATGAAGTGTTAGGATGTGGAACTTGGTAGCTAACACTAAAAAAGATGGCACCTATCAGCAGGGGAAAAGCCCAAGAAATGCATATGCTCTGGGGGGACTGTTACAATTACTACTAGGAAAAAAAAAGTGGGGGAGAAGGGGAATTTGCAAACTAGTAATTTGAGAGAAAAGTATTCTTTGCTTGGGAAAAATAACTTAGTTTCCCTGAGTTATACTTACTACTTATCAGGCGAACACACATGCCAATTAAATCAAGACTCTAGATTATTGAAAATATCTAGATCCTGGAAAACTAGGAAAAATAATTTAACCCCTAGAAGGAATTGAGACATTTTCATTAAAAAAAGAAAATACCCTTTGCAGATCAAGGATTTATTTTTCCAATACTTTTCCCTCTAAACCCAAAATTCATACATACACACGTCTATCTCCCAACTCATTTAATCCTACTTTTCACTGCTTTAACTCAATCTATTTTCCTAGTGTTGCCATCACTGCAGAATCTCACAAATGTTTGGAAGATTAATTGTATCATGTATTCGAGACTACAGATAGAAATGAAATGGAATTGGTTTTCAACTGTTGGTCTTTTTCTTTAAAAAGATTTTATGTATTTATTTATACAAGCACTGGGTACAGTCAGAAGCGCGGGAGGGTGACAGAATTCGCCAGAGCGGGGGACAGAACAGGCAGACTGAAAATACACTGCTGAGGGGAGCAGAGGGTATGGCAGGAGAGGTCTGTCCCGCCATGTGGGACGTTCGCTGGTGGCCAGGGATCGAACTGGCGCTGTAGAGGCTGCGGGCAGCTTCGCAGGCCAGCGCTCAACTGCTGCTGCGCCACCAGGGGAGGCCCTGTTGGTCTTTTTAGATATAAATTTATTGCTGAATTTCATTTGGAATATCTTAATTTGTTTGACTGTTCTAATTGGCTAATGTAGCTCTGCACCAGGTAATTGTCATCTGTAACAAATTTCTAGGTGAGCAACATCATACAGAATTGAGATTTAGTCAGGTGCAGCTCAGGTTAACCACTAAGATTTTGAGTGACCTAAACAATTTACTTTTATAAATCTCACTCCCCAAAAATACATTTGTAACAGCATCTTTAGAGGTATTTATTCCTTCTCAGTCAAGTAGTGTGAAAATTAATGTAAATGTTCAGTGTTATGTGTTGAGACCATCCAAAAGAAAGGTAATGAATGTACACCTATAATAACAGCTGTTAAACAGCAATTATATACTAAATAGCAGTGTTAGGAGAAGAAAATACAGAACTTGTTACCTCTAATCCTATAGAAAGCCTGAGGCCAGAGGGCTTCCCTGGTGGTGCAGGGGTTAAAGTCTCAGCACTATCAAGCCATCACCAGCCACTGCAGCATGAGTTCCACCCCTGGCCAGGGAGCTAACCCACATGGCAGAGCAGACCTCTCCTATCTCGCCCAATTCTCCCCTCAGCAGTGTATTTCAGTCAGTCTGCCTGTTCTTTTCCCCACTGCCTCTGGTGAATCCTCTCACACCCCACACCTCTAACCTGGACCCCAGTTCTTATCAAACAAGACCTGTTATAATCTGAAGTACCAATGGAAGGTATATTTAAAAAAGGGTCAGATCATTAGAGTAAATCATTGGGGAAAATTAATCCCTCTTTCTATACCTCTTTCCAAAGCTCTTTTTTCCGAAAAGTTGTATTTAAAGGTAGGAGATAAGGAGCAACATGGCGGCGAGGAGACGCTGCGAGTAAGATCTCCCATTAAAAAAAGTTAATAGGGAGGAAAAGCGGCAGGTCCCAGTGAGAAGTGGGACACGGAAGATAAACGGGTGACGCCAGCGAACTGCCCGAAGAAGAAACTGGCCATAAAAGAGGACTAGAAGGGAGGGAAGCGCAGAACCCTGCTCCCCTCCCCCGCCCACAGAGGCGGCACTCTCCGACCCGCAGAGAGGAGGAAAACAACAAACCAAAACGACCAACAAGAACAAACGACGCAGCAAGCGGGACTGTGAGTGGAAAGGAACTATTGCAGCCACCACACCCCGTGAACGGGAGCTGAGGCGAACCCTGCAGGATCCGCCGCGGCGGTGAGCAAACAGCTCCTGGCGCCATTAGAGAAGAACAAAGACCCCGGGAGACGCGCACACAGCCCGGGCTGCCGGTAAGCTGGCGCGGAAACGCGGCGCGCTCGGGGAGCTTGAAAAGCAAGTGCAGACCTGGATCGCGGCTGCCCAGGTCCCCGCGCCTGCGACCTAGGCTTGCGGGGAGACGACCTAGGCTTGCGGGGAGACGCACGGAGGTCCTCACTGAGGTGAAGGTCCCTCCCTGAGTGAGCAGGAACCAGGCGCCCAGGCACGGGAGCTGTGCAAAAGGCGCCATTCCCGCGCCACTGAACTGGGCTACAGCCCGCGTCCTGGAACTGAGGGCTTTGAACTGAGACCCGGGGCACGAAAATTCGGGGCGTGGGTTCTCCACGACGGTGGGGCACAAGGCAGACACAGCACCCCAAAGCTGTTGAGGTGTACCCTACCATTCCCGCTCTGTTCTCTGTCCCACGGGTGGGGGAGGCGAAAAACAGCCCCCAAGGACAATAGGAGAGATCTCTGGCGCCACCTAGCGACCAGGAAAAAAAAAGTCACTAACACCCTATAAAACAGGACATTTCTTAAGACTGCTTGAAAAGGGCAGAAGGTTTCTGGAGGACCCAGTGGCCAGCCGGGAAGTTATTCCACGCCAGGCCCCTTCCGACCAGCAGTCTGAGCCCACAGAGGGAGCAGGCACCCACGTCCGGGGCAGACCGGGGGCGCAGAAGAGTGTGCCTGAAACCGGAGGCGCAGGGACTGCATCCCGCTTCGCCATTTGAGAACAGGGACATTTCTTCAGTAAAAACTGCCTAAAACCAGCAGAAAGCACCCCCAGAAGACAGAGATGGCTCCTGGAAGAGCCAGAGGGGAGCGGAGAAGTTCACCCAAGATGTCAGTCAGTCCGAGCAACACAGTGTCCCAACGCATACGACAAATTAGAAAACAGACAGTAGGGAGTAGAAGAACCACACGCAACCTAAAAACTCCTCAGGAAAGAAGCACACCACAAAAGAAAACCACTCCCCAGATTGCAACGACAGCAACTTGGAAGAACTTCTGAGCCTTCCA